GAGGAGGAGGAGGAGGAGGAGGGGAAGACGATACCGGACATGACGAGATCGACGGTGCCCCAGGCGCCCTCACTGCCGAAGAGCTGGAATTCGCCCGCGCCTTCAGCTCGATGCCCGGCGCAACACCCTTGGCGCTCGGCACAATCAGGAGTCACCTCGACCACATCCTTCGCCACTTTTCGATCCTCCAAGTCGCGCTGCGGCCCGATCTGCGCTCTGACGTGCTCAAGATCGTCAAATACCTCGCACGCCAACGAGGCTTGTATCCGACCGGCCAGCAGAAGAAGCGCTGGATCGACGATAGCACCGTCGCTGCTCTGGAGGCTGCCATCTGGACCGTTGCTGCTCAGCTGACGCCGCGCAAGGGGCCTCGCTCCGTCGCAAGCCTGCTCTCGATCCAGCTGATCGTCATGTTCCTTGACGAGTTTGGCAGTCGCGTGAGCTCTTGGCTCGACAACATCCATCGCCCCAAGGGACAAGCCGGACGCTATCTGCGTTGGGGGATGGTGACGATCACCTTCTGCGGATACTCGGCCTCGGGCAACGATCCAGAGTTCGTGCTCAACGTCAGCAACAGCTCGAGCAAGAAGGCCGGTCGCTCTGGCGATCTCAACTTCACCGTCAACACCCTGGCGACGAGAAGGGACCGACCAAAGAGCCAGGATCCCGTCTTCTGCCTCGTGGCGCTCGGCATCATCCAGCACGTCTTTCGGGACGACGTGGCGCGGATCTTCAGCGACCGCACGTACGGCTCGTCTCTGCTGCGACGCAACAAGTCGCAGTACGTCATCACGGCCAAGGACGAGGTTGACGACTGTGCCGTCTTCGTCCACGGCAGGGTCCTCTCCCATCAGCCCGACCAGGAACGGCCGAACACCTCGACCGCGCTCAAGCACCCCTCGGACCGTCCAGCCTGGGGCCAACATCATAGGCCGATGTCGACCAAACATCTGGCGGATGCGCTCGGCAAGCTGTCGCGCCACATCGGCCTCACCCACAAGGTCACGTCGAGGACGTTCCGTACCACCTTCGCCTTCAAGAACGTGCTCCAGGCCAAGATCCCGGCCTGGCGGCTGGCGGCTCGTATGGGCCACTTTTCCGGCAACAAGGACCTGTCGCGCAAGACGTACGCCCCCACCTACGGCCCCGTCGACACGCGGCGCACCGCCGCCACCGTCGACCCCAGCGCGGCCTTTTCCGACGGCGTCCGCGAGTCGCTCGCCTCCAACGGTGCGATCGCGCCTCTTCCGGACGCCGACGACATCGATCCGGCCCTGCTGGCGCGAGCCCGCCGTCTGCTCGGCGCGTTGGAGGACCACCTCGAGCATCAGACGGACCAGCGGGTCCCCACCGCCATGGCAGATGAGATCGTCGACATGTTCCGTACGATCAACACTGGCGTTCGCATCCCCTTCAAAGATGCTCTGGCGGGCCTGCTGTCGCTGACCAGCATCCGATCGCGGTCGTCGCATTCCGTCGCGCAGCAGCAGCAGCAGCATCCATTCGACGACGAGGGCATCCGAAAGGGCACCGACGCCGCCCTGCTCAAGTGGCTCGAAGACGGAGCGTCGCGGCTCTGCCCTTCCTGCCACGAGTCTCTGCACAACGAAAAGATCAAGAAGAAGGGCGCCGTGCCGAACGGCATGCCCTCCAACATGTTCCTCTTGTTCAACGACTGCCTGAAGCAGAAGCACGCCGAGTACTGCTGCTTCATCTGCAGCCAGCGTCTCCCTCTGGCAGACGGCACCGACCACGCCGTCCGCTGCTTCCAGCAGCACTACGATGTCTGCTGCGCCGACGGCCTCGACTTTGACCGGATCTGCGTGCTGCGCAGCAGCAGCATCGAGCGATGGAAGAAGGCACACTTCCTCGTCTGTCCGATCGCCTCTTGCATCGACCAAGACTGGTACCAGGGGCCCGGTGCCGACGACCGCGCCTACCTCTACGGCACCGCCAGCATCCGCAAGGACAAGCGCAAGGGCGGTCCGGAGATTGGGGGCGGCAAGCTCGAGGTGCACAACGAGACGTCCACCTTTTTCAACCATCTCGCCGCGCATTTCTTCGACACGGCGCTCGTCCACACCAGCAGCGGCAGGGCGTTTCAAGTCCGTGCCCGGATGCCCGAGACGCTCGACGGCACCGCCATCGTCTGCCCAGTGCGCAATTGCAGCCAACGATGGAAGCACGACTCGGCCGGCGACACGGCCTTCCTCGCCCACCTGATCAACCTCCACCGATTCCCGATCCTCTTCGATGCGGACGGGCAGGCCGTCGGCTCCATCGAGGCTGGACAGGAGCGCAAGCTGACTAATCTGCTGCCATACGTCCCCGACACAACCAAAGCCATACCAGACGTGGAGCTTCAGCATCCCGACCGCAGCTTCGATGGCTTCTACATCCGCGTCCGCGTCGACTACCTTCGAAGGATGGCGCAGGCCGGCCACAAGAGGGTGCTGCGCACGGACAAGGTTCCGCCAGCGCTCAAGAAGAAGCTGATCACCGAGCAGCGGCAGAGGACGATTGCCAAGAAGACTGCGGAGGAGCTCGCAGCTGCCGCCGCATTGAACATGCAGCGGAGCAAAGAGAGGTACGCCAACGACCCAGGCTACGCCGACAAGCTAAAGCAGAAGCAAAGGGAGAGG